GCATGTCTAGGCGTATTGGACATGATTTAATCTTGCCTTTAGAAGGTGATTGATTGCGGCATATTTTTATATCTATCTATATTACTTGTCCATTTGCGTGAGGAACGGAATAAGAATCCTATATGTGCTTTTTTAATGTGTCTCGTCAGCAGTGTGTGAACATAATCATGGCTTTCTAGGTTCAGCTCACGCTCCATGTAACAGGCCAAGCCCACCTTATGGGGAACCGGAGACCTCTCCCTTACACCACGCCAGGTTGCCTGACCACTGAGCGACTGCAGCTATGGTTAGTGGTCATGGTGAGCTAAGTCAGAGGATTTATCGCTGCAGGGGTGGGGGGTATGATGGTTGGTTCAAGTCTCTAGTCATGTGGCGGGGTCATGTGTGTTGCACTCTGTGTGCATAACTCGCATCGCACACGCAATGAAGCGGGTCCGCGCAGCAGTTGTGTGTTTGCATCACAATTGGATTATTTCTATGGATTTACTTGTTTCAGCTTTCGTAAAGATGCTACGATGAACGTGAGTCTAGACAATATGCTATTGCTGCTGCGATATAGTTGCTGTCCTCGAGTTGATCTTCTATTCTGAAGTGGTGTTAGAAGTTGGATTCTATATTCTGAGCACAGAACGGTCTGGCACGAGCTAAATACCGCCACGGTGGTGCCTCAGGCACAATTAGATGACTGGAGCGACGCTTTTCCGTATATGTGCTGGTCGCTCGACCAATCTTCGTTCTTGATGCATCTGCAACGGTTTTTCGTCATTGGAACTTTTTCAGTTTGTAAAATTGGATCAGTGCTCACATGCGATGCACTTGTATTTATGTGTAGTGAAGCACCCGCTTACATTTGTGATGAATTGACTGGCATGCAGAATCATACAGTCGGATCAAAGCTCATATCATGTCGAGGTTTTTCCTAGTGATATCGGCCTCTTGTTTTGCGTGCCTTTTGAGCTTGCAGAAAGCGAGCGTGTGGTGTCTCCACTGGTGTATGTGGTTGTATTGCGTAAGTATTGTATTGTGCGACCGGCGTGAGGCTTACAGCTCGATCCTGTATGGTATGTCAGCATATTGAAGATTATGTTTGATGATCATGTAGTTATGTACACAATTAGTAGCGGTCAGTTGCTAGTTTGCTTGTGAGGCAGTAATATTATGTAAGTGTAGTCTTCGAGTCTGACATCACAATGATCTTGCCGCTTTATTGTTTTGTCAGGGCTCTTGCGCGATTTCTGATAATTGTCCAGACTTTTTGCATATCACTATTCAGTTTTGCAAGTCCAGAATCGTTCTGCTCATTAATTTGTCCTTAGCTTAGAAAAGCATCTTTGCTGGGTCTTTTTTCCATAAATAGAGATGATGGAGGAGTCATAATTAATCATTGATTTCTATGTTCAAGTTCCCATATTTATGTTGTATTGGGTGTAAAGATAAATGTTAGGTTTGTTAGTTATGAGAAGCTTGATAGTTTGAGAGGAGATTGTCTATAATTATGTTAGTAGGTCCGATATCTGTTTGTTTGTCGTGGCATCTTCCCAACATCATCAAACTCATGAGAGAGACCTTATGATCATTAAACGTTGTTATATGTTAGGTCAGTTTTAGAGGTTTCATGATTATATTTAACTGTTTGGATGTGATCTGTGAAGGTTGAATAAAGATATGTAGTTTGACCCTGTGTCAAAAGCGTGGATGGGAGTTGTTTGGCAGTGTGAAAGAGCAAACATAAGAGCCTAGTGCATATGGCGTCCAAGAGATAGCATTGTGGCATGAGGGGAGAGATAAGCTTGTAGTGGTTCTTTAGAAACATTTTTGAAGTTTCGCATCAATCACATCAACAATCAATCAAATCAATCATCAAATGGATTTATGTTATATAGCCCAAACACAAATTACATTGTTTTCTCAGTGGACTTCGCGTGAGTTGTTGTTACTAATATTCTATGTATGACAATAGCACTCTCTGGTCTCTGAGACTCTGACTATCTGCACAAGGAAACACTTCCAGAGAAAACCCCACAGTTAAAGGGGAACATGGGAGAAACCTCAGGGAGAGCAATAGAGGAGGGATCCCTCTCCCAGGGCGGACAGACGTGCAATAGATGCCGTGTGTAAATTGAAAAGATAATACATTTGCAACATAGGTAGTCCAAATGTTTGGAAATGCATGTGTGTATACTAGGAAGATGAATCTACGAGGATATCCATCCAGGACCACAGCAATAGGCACAGCCACGACTCAGGATCCCGCCGTAGATAAACACCAAAACGAAAATTTGGGGAAGCTGGGTTATTCAGAGAGTGCAGGTAGATCTGCATCTGCATTGACAAGTTGCTGTTTGTTTCACACATTATGTTTTGTTGAAACAAAATACAAAAGCTTGATTAATTCCTTGTCCTTTTTCACTTCAAACATCAGCTTGAACAGCAAACCAATAATATGACAATTTGCTCCATACCCTTTAGTGTGAAATAGGAATAAAGGTTAGTTTTGTTCATTCTAATGAACACTGTGGCCTCATGGGGCCAGTATAGCTTCAGAATTACAATCTTCCCCTTTTGTTATGAAGTTTTTTTATAACATTACGGTGTACTTGGTTTTCATTGATATATATAACACTCATAAGAACAAGTTAAATATTATGGAACATGCCACTCCGTGTTTACAAGCTGACAAGGAGTGAGTTTTGTTTTGAATTCCTAAAAAAAGAGCTGTGTGATAAGCAGCATATCTTCAGTCAGTTTTCATGTCACACAGTCGCAGATGTAGCATCGGAGTCCCAGCTGCTAAATATACTGAACCACCTGCTCTCTGACAGGTGGTACAGTAGCTTCTGGATGACGCATGTGTCAGATACTATCGCTAGCTCGTGTTCAACATACAGAAGACTTGAGTCCATGCTGATAAAGAGCATTAGTAGTTCTCTTCACCTATCACCAAGAATTGGGACATGTGACCTTCCCCTTACTGCCCTCATGTGTCCGCTCCCAGTGGGGGGCCTCTATACGTTTGTGAAGGTTGGTCAAATGAAGGCCATTGAGAGTAGGAGAGGATAATGTTGACCCCGCTGATCCCCTGACACTCCCTCTCTGCCCCGAGGCTGTGTCCCTGCAGGGAGGGTCATCATGGCCTGAGAGGCACCCCTAAATAACCCCCATAAAGCCAGGGTTGGTGCGAGACCTCTGTGGTGATCAGGTAGTGCATCGGGGGGTCCCACAGACGAGGTGGGGCCCAAAGCCTGAAAGCTTTTGGCGGCAGAAGAGGGTGAGGTCTGACCCTGAACCAGTAGGAAACAGGAGGTCAAGCCGTGGAGAGCACAGTTCCCTTTGTGTCTGGCTAGATGTGTTCATATATTGCAAGGCACACTTATTGAAATGATCAATCTGATTATCATCTTTGAATTATTTAGAGTTTCTTAATTTCCCAAATGTGACATGCCATTGTCTTTCTTCTTAACCTTAACTGTAGTTCACAGTCAAAGAATATGCCCCTTTATACTTAAGTAAGGAGACCCCATGCGATGGTCCAGATGACAGTATGGTGCTTATAAAACACATGTTCTGAGATCACAACACATCCTGTTGGCAAGTTAAGAATAGATTAGAATAAACCACACTCGTTATTGACTTTTGATACCATTACATCTGTATTCAACAGGAAACAGGTGCTGTGATTCATCTTCAACAGTTGGGGGAATGTTTTAATAATGCATGAAGCAATAACATACAAAACATATAGGACTGCTGTAAGGATGATTAGAAATGACGAGCCATGTTTTTTTCTCTTTGCAATCAGTGATTCATTTTCACAATGAAAATGCAGCTTTTCAGGTCCAGTTAACTTGCATCTTAAAATAAGCCGGAAATGTACTTTTTACGTATCTTAACTTCCATTAAACTCGTCTAATAGAAAAACAATAAGACCTAAATCTTTTGCAACTAGTCGTGTCTTGTTTTCTCACAGTACGAGGTGAGGATCTCCATACATACTAATCCGCCTTTGGTCCCTTTAATACACTGTGCACACAAACTCAACAACCTGTGAAGGTGTTGTTGCATGAGTAGTACAGTGTATCTATTCAGCTAACCTGCATCAATACCACTCTGCAGCAAATATGAAAGTGCAGCCAGCAGCTAGTTAGCCTAGCTTAGATGATCATAAACACTGAAAGGGGGTTTGCCAGGCTCTCTACAAAAGTGCCATAGTCCACCTAGCAACCCCTCCTTATTAACACGTTTTATATAATTTCCTAAAACCATTTAAATACAGATACAAATAAAAGAAAATAATGGGTTTTTTTTTATGTTGTGGCCATGAGCAGGAATGAGGAGATTTCCCAGTATGTCAAACTGTACCTTCTAAAGACAGTTGCAGACAAAAGATTATGAAATGATCATCCCAGTTTCATTGCTAGCTCGTTATGTAAGATTCCTCCCAACCGCTCAATGGCACATTTTGTGTAAGATACATCAGTTCACTCTGGGTAATCTTGCATGTTATTGGGGTTAGAGGCTTCTGAGGATGCGCTGGGTGTCAGTTGGCTGCCCGGTGTTGACAGAGAGATTGATTTTTGTTTGGGAACGGCTGCTTCAACATGCTCCAGGTGCAAGTTATCTTGTTTAGCTTCATGGAGATAGCTCTGAAGCAGTAAAGGGAACGTTATTATTGAACGGCGGGGCAGAGCGACATGAGTTGCACAGGGACAGAAGCAGCTCGGGGGAGAGCAGAGTCTGGGTGCTGGAGCGATAGCAGGATATGTAAACACTTTCCTTTTGTGCTTGTGTTAGTCTCTTTGGAAGTCAGTC